CAACATAGGATGGCCCATCCAAGTACCTTTCATCTAGCAGCCTCTGCCTGTGTGCCTGCTGGCTCACAGCAGGAGGCCATGTGCCATTTTCCTCTGTCTCCTCTTCCTGGACCCTTCCTCCACTAACACTTCCACCTGGTTCTCTCCACCCCTCTCCACAATGGCTATCTCTCCCTCCCTGAATGCAACTGAAATACCAGATGTTCTCATGGCTCCCAGCTCCAATAGAGGAAGCAGGGCCACCCTCAAGAGTCCCTGGGTAGGTGATGGGGTGGGGCCTGGGCTTCTAACCTGCTCTGGAGCCTCACTGTTCCTCTTCTGGAAGGGGAGGATGTTTCTCACCCTCCAGCATGGGCTACTTTTCCTTCCTCACCCCCTCATCCCCACCCCATGCTTCACAAGGCCTTGCTGCTCTGAAGGGCTCTGGTGTCCCCAGAAGCAGGAATTCCGATTGCTTCTCCACCCTCGCCTTCCCTCACCCTACACATGTAATTAGGATTTCCTGACTTTGACCTTGGCCCTGGTCTGTTGTACCCTTCTTGGACTTGGTTATTGACCCTTGTAATAGGATATGACCTTGCCCTTACCAACTGCAGGGATGGAAATGGACATAAATGTGCCAGTCCAGTGTGGTAGGAAGAAGATGAGAAAGAAAGAAAAAAACAACCTACATTCACATGCAAAGTTGTCTAGAGCTAGTAGAGTAGTGGAAACAGCTATAGAGACCCTCATTTCCTAACTGCACAGTTTTCATTTCCAAATGCACAATTCAGTGTTTTCCACCTTTTCATTCTTTCTCCTAATGCAACCTGCTCTCCCCCACCCCCAGCAAGATCCAATAGCACCCTTTACTTTCCTCCAGGGATTCCAGTACAGGTCAGGCTGGCTCACAAGCCATTGAGTATTTACTGACACCCCATCCTCCAATCACATGGACCACACTGAACTACGAAGGCCAAGAATCTTGCTCTGCCTGAGACCATATTCCTAGCACAGGCCTGGTACCAGGCAGCCACAGAGGATGAGGGTCAGGCTGGGGAAGCAGAGCTGAGCTAAGCACGAGTGGAGCTAGGTGGATGGTGACGCAGGACGTGGTGGGAGGGGCTTGGAGAAGACAGAGTTGTCTGGTGCAGAGGTGTGGAGGGTCTCTGGGTAAATGGGAAGGAGCACCTAGAGAGCCGGAGCGGATTTCAGTCTTCCACTGTCAGTGGGAGCTGAGGTGATGGTTGCTTGGTGAGCCATGGAAGAAGTCCAAAATCTGTCCTCCAAAAGTCCCTTTTCAAGGAGGAGGCACCAAAAGGAACAGCCAGGGAAATGCTGAAGAGAAACTTTTAAGTAGGAAGAAAACCAAGGCTTAGCAAAGAAATAAAGACTATCTAAAAGAAGTCAAGGCAATCTCTTTGCCCAAGTAAAGAGATGCCCATTAAAAGGAATAGAATAAAGCCATCTTTCATGATGGAAAAGGCCAAACATAAAATACCCAGTCTGCACAGTGCCTTGGCAAGAAGAGAGGGTTTTCAAAGTGTTTCCTAATTGCATGCTGCAAGATTAGTCTGAAAGTGCTCTGAAAAGGCTAGTCTGAAAGCAAAGTGCTCAGCCACAAGTGTGGTCAGGCCACACCCTAGACTAACAACACAGTGTCCAGTACTGTCAAACAAACACACAACCTTTTTACAAGGTGATAGGTTATCATATGTGTAAAATAATACACAAAATATGTTTGGTATTGTTTGGATTCACACATATGCACTGATAGTTTCACATTACATGTTAGGGTGATAGAGAAAATGGACATTGAAAGAGTTACTCATTAATATCTGAACTTATCTTGTAAAAAAATCTGAAAAAAGGAAAACCCTGAGTAATATCTGAATGTGCCAGGTGTGGTTGTGCACATTTACAACCCCAGGAATCTGAGGCAGATGTGTGGGTCCAAAGCCAGGTTGGGATATACAGTGAGACTCTGCCTCAAAAACAAAACAAAACCACCCTGAATGCTATTTAACTGTGCTCTGAAGAAATTACAAAGGGGTGAGTATAGAAAAGGAAAACAGTGTGTGACTACAGCTTCAGGCTCTAAAGAACAGGGCCGATCTGGCAATTAGCAGGTCATTAGTGACCTTATTGGCAGCGATTTCTGCAAGTGTCTGGGCAGGGGCAGAAGGGAACCATCAAGCATCATAATGGTTTGAAGAATTGATGCGACTGGAAGTAATGGAAACAATTCTTGCCAGTAAAAGGAGAGAGGTAAAGCTAAGGAGAGGAGAGAGATTTGGTGGTTTGACTGTTCTGTTGTTTCATGGATGCAATGGAGAGATTTAAATACAGTGGGGGAGAAGAGATGACTGTAGTGGGAAGTAAAAATGGGCAAGAAACACTGTGTGTGCCAGTACTAAGCATCTTACACATACGGATTTCTTTAGTCCTCTATGTAACACTATTGTACCATTTTACTGATGAAAACACTGAGCCAATAAGTGGCAGTTGGAGCAACACCATAAGGCGGTGAATGGGTGGATACTACTTGTGGGTGGCAGGAGGGTCTGCCCTTGAGAGGTGAAAGGACTCCTTGGGCTGGGGAATGGCATTATTATCTCAGCAGGTCTAGGGCTGGGTGAAGAAAGCTGATGGAGTTCCTAGAAGGCTTGGCTTGGAGGTGGAGGGAGTGAAGGTTTAGGAAGTGAGAGATAGCTCAACCCCTCTAGAAAGCCATCCAAAAAAGCCCTGGCCCCAAATTCAAGGCTAGTGATCCTCTCTGAAGGTATTACTTGACATTGAGCTAAAAGGAGCTTCTAGAAAGATGGCAGGATCACTGAGTTGGGATGAAGGACACAGGAGCTACACAGCATCTTAGGAATCCTGCCTGGGACCCATCATAGGGGTCTTGTGCTCCCACAGCACCTTCCCTGACCATATGAAGTCCAGCAGTTTGATCACACTACCCCTACACCTACCAACACAGCCTTACACACCTTAATCACATCTTCTCTTCTCCAGTAACATCCCTGGGTCTGTATCTTGCTTTTCTATGGGAACTCTTGAAATTCATCATCTTTTTGTTTCTGGTTTCTAAACTCTCACAAAGCTCAGCAGACCTCTAGTAAGGGTGTCTGACAGGAAGCACCATGTCGGGGCACAGCGCCTCCCTCTACACCATCCTTGGCTCTCTAGCGGGTGTCATGGGGAACTGTATTGGCCACTGTCGTGCACAAATGGCCTTGGAGGTCAGATAATGGGAAAGGTCTGCCTGTTGCTGCTCTCATCTTCAGGCCTAGGGGTATGGAAGGGGGTGTGTGTGTCAAAGACCATCTATCTGGGTGATGACATAGCTTCTCAAAACTTCCAACTCCTCAGATGTGACATATGAAATGGCAGCTTGATGCAGCCCAGGAGAAAGGCTGGTCCTAAAAAGTAGGCAGGGGCAGAGAGCACTTGAGTTAAACTGTGTATGCAGAGCCTCATAGCTGACCACCATTCCAATGAAGGACAGCATAAAGCAAGACATGAGTTCCAGAAATTTATTGGAAACACGATACGAACCGATAGTAGATGGCATCTCCTCACAGACAGACAGTGCACACGGGTACCTCGGGAAAGAGCTCTCCTGGGCAGCTGGAGTGAGCACTGAGGCATGCTCTGGTGAATGCTCTGTGGAAGGGAAACCAGAGATGTGGTGCAGAGAGAGAGGAGGCACACAGAAAACTGGGACATAGCTTTCCTGAAGGCGGTGCTGAGGTGGATTGCTAAATGGGTGAAATCCCCCAGAGGAAAACAGGGACAACGGTGAAGAACAAAAACTCCTCTGCCTCTCAAAAGCACTTCTCTTTCTGGGCAGAGCAAAAGAGAATTTACAAAAACCTAAGGGAGCAGCTCCCCTTGTCTCCCTTACCATGGTCCCAGGACTGCACATAGGCACCAGGCTTGGACATGACCAAGAGCATACAGAGGCCACACACAGCATGGACTGCCTGCCCTCAGACCTGCTCCTTGCCTTCTCTTCCACTCCTCCATTCAGCTGCATGCTGACCCTTTGGGGGCCTTCCAAGGCTGCCAGGGAAGCTGACTTCCAGCTGGAGTCAGCTAACAGGAGGCACCCACAAAAATCTGGAGGGCATGACAGGCGAAGCTGTTTCTCCCCTCCAACCTCTCATGACTTCAGCTTCTATCAATGCGCTTCAGATCTCCCCAGTGGCCCTGGCCCTCGGATATGGTAGTATGGCCTCCTGACTGTGTCTAGCATCCAGGATATCTTATTCTTGTTTCATTTTTCTGCTCTTCTTGTTTTTGATCAACACTCTCTAGCTTAAAATGTGTTTTACTCAGAGTAGGCTGTACTTGGCTGAGCCCTGCCCAGACACAGGGCTGTGGGCAAGGTAGACTCATAAGAGATCCCTGCAATGAACTTCTGTCTATCCTCCTCTTCTGCACACAGTTAGGACGTCAGAGGTGGTGGCAGTGACTGAGGACAGAGGGGATGCCTTGCAGTGTCTGTGTCCTCACTCAGAGGGCTTTGCACTATATCTCACCTGCTTCAGACTGAAGAATCTCAGCATGTCTGCTTGTATGTCCACTGAACAATTGTGACACTACTGACATGCACTATGGCAGTACCATGGCCCTTGAAAGAGCATGGCCAGCTAAGAAACATCTCGGTACCAAATGTTCTGAACAGCAAAGGCAAGGAACAGAAGCTCCTTGGCATTACCCTCTGTTCCCTGGATTAGAATATTCCTTCAGAATGTCAGGGGGTTTCCAAGGGATGAAATAGGGGCATAAATGCTTAGTCAACTCTATCTCCATGGGAGGGTGGGACTACAGGTCCAGCTCTTACTAACAAGCTGACGAAGAGCCTCTGGATGCACGGCATTCACAGCTAACTTTGAGCCTCCTGCTTCTCCATCAGTATTGGCAAGGCCCTTCTCCAAATCTCTCCAGCCTGGTGGAAGGCCTCTCCCAACAGGCAGAGAGAATGTAGCCAGCAGCTAATTTCATGTCTCAGGACAAGTTCACAGACAGACATCTGTGCTGAGGTTTCTTTTTCTTTAGAGAAGAAATACCAGAAAGGCTAGCTGGCCTTCGCATCCAGGGTCTTTGCTGTAGGGGATTTATGTATAAGAATCTGGAGGAAACACTTGCCACCTGCACTTGTCTCATGAAGCACCTCTGACACAGGCCCTGCCCTCAGGGCTCAAGCCAAGCCACAGGACAGCTCCAGAGACAGAGAACTTGGAACTTGTCCTTGGTCACCCAGAGGTCTAAGGTGAGAAGCGGCTCTTCCTCAAGAAGCCAACATGCTCCAAACTGGGCAAGACTGAGGCATCTTGACCCCAATCACACTACCCGGAACTATCCATACCGCCTCATTCTCTGCTGAGTTGAGCCAGCCGTGGAGGACGTAGACGTAGATATCCTTGTCATTTCTGTGCTGCCTCATTCTTGCTGGGGGGGCCAATTCCAGGGGGGCCATTCTTTCATGCAACAACTTGTTTGGGCATCTCATTTCCTCCTCCAGCTGCTGCTCCTGGGGTAGCTGAAAGGTCAGACTCCAGTTGTCTGTCACAGTGCTATGACCCTACGCCCTGCAGACCATCTTTGTTAATGGAGGCAGGGAGATGGCTAGGCTCAGGAACCAACCAGGCATTGAGTTACTCCTTGCCTGCAACAGATGGTCCATTGGGATGTCACCAAGGGCTAGTGCCCAGGGCAGGCAGGGAGAGCCCAAGCCAGTAAAGCAGGAAGGTCTCCTGAGGCCTCAGAACATAATGCTCACAGCATACTGGGCCAGAGGGGTAGAGAGGTTTTGGAGCCGACTATATAGACTTATACTTGCAAACATGATTCTCCCTTCCACCCTCCTAAGGAGTAAAATAAACTAGGGTGAGTAGTGACCCATGATAGGAACCCTTGGTGCAGTTCCTCATTAGCTGGCTTGGTTGCAGGGGGGAACAGGCAGTAAGAAAACAGCTTGTCACAGTGATATACACGCTTGGCATGTTTAACACCTGCTCTCACTAGAGCTCTCCAGGACCAAGTAGAAAACCAGCCTCTCTTCCAAAAGAAAATAGAGCTGCTGAGAGTCATGTGCAGGCTGGCCAAGGCAAGAACCTTCTCTTCTGTCAGACCCAGGGGTAACCATACCACTGAGGAGTGGGAGCAGATGAATACAGGATGCAGGGGTGAAAAGCAACACTTCCACTGAGCGGGAAGCAGCCACGGGAGGGGAGAGGCAAGAGAACAGGGGAGGGGGTCAGGGAGAAGAAAGCAGCCTACTGGGAAAAAGGCAAGCGACAAATACCAGCAAGGACAGGGGAACACTATGAACTGTGTAAACACTGGCACATGTCTTAAGAAAATCCACTCAGAAAGATGCCACATTCCTCCTGTACATAAGTACACAGCATAAAACAGTGGGACTGGCACATGCAGGGCAGCAGGGTTCTGAGTGCTCAGCAGCCTCCATCACCCAAGCCCCCCACTCTGGGGAAGTGGACACCAACAAGTGAGGAGGCCAGTGGCTCCCTGCTGCCCTCAGTCCTCAGGAAGGTCTCTCTAGGACAGCAAGGTCTCTGAGAGGGAAGGAAGGTGCCCCTGGGTCCCACGGAGATGCAGGTTTGGAACATGCACCCCTACAGTTTCTTTTCTGCCTCTTCGGGTCTCCACAGGGTGCACACAGAGCTCTGCTCCCACTGAAGAAGCTGCCTCCTTCCCAGGCACATCTGTGACCACCAGCAGGACAGTAGAGTCTTGGGTTGTAGCATAGAACAGGGATAACTCAGTCTGACACGCAGCATGTGAGTTCTGGAAAAGGGAAGAAACAGGGTAAGGCTAAATGAGTTCTGATGAAAGGGAAAATAGAAACCACCCTCCCACAAATAGGATGACTATCAGGGGAAAGAAGTCAGGTACTAATCCAAATAAAATCTCACAATGTAGTTTAAGGCTGAACAAAAGTTCACCTTGGTCAAGAAAAACGTGAAGCATCTTCAGCAAGGCATCTTCAAAGCTAGGTTTTCAAGTACAGAGGCTGCTGGTGAAATACAGCACCTCAGGCTAGACCTTGTAAAACTCCTCCAGTGATATGGAAAAATGGTGAGCACAGTGTGATAGGAGGAGACCCAGTCTCTTCTTCAGCAGTAATAACTGATCACCAGGATTGGCACCCAAGCCATGAACACACTTTCTATAGGACAAGAATGAGCCTTAGCCCCCTTTACTCAGTGTCCTGAGTCAAGAGCTATTCCTTCACCACTCCACCTCAACTCTCAACTGTCCTGTCCCTAAGTTGGGCATCAGGAAACTGTCAACAGCTATAAAAAATGAACAGCAGACCTGGCCTGCAAACCATATCATTACTGTCTCATACTACTCAGCAAGGTGTGAGACCAGATTCTTGTTACTTGTGAAGTGGCTGGAGTGGCTGAGGTAGAAGAAAATGCTCACAGACCCTTTCTAGTTACGCGTTCCGCAGCCACAAAGTAGCTAGATGACCGCTTTCACAGCCTCATTCCATCTGCAGGAAGGAGGTCTGCAGGATGGAGCAAGCCATGCCTTTACTCCACATGCCTTTCTAGAATATGGAAGATACCATGGATACAACCTCAAAAAAGAAGTTCAGTAAATGTGAGTTAAATAAAGACTCAGATAAATTTGACTTAGGAATCAAAAAGCCTTTGCTTTATCGGACCTACTTTAGGTCAGAAACTCTTTTTTGCTTACCAGAACCTTGTGAGGATCAGGAAAGTTAGGGCCTGCTCAAGTCATTAAATAAGCCAAGGAGTCAGGATTTGAATTCAGTCTTCTTAATTCAGATCTTTTTATGTACTACACCAACCTGCTCATTCTCCATCCAGCCCAGTGTTCTGCTAACAGTCCAGTAAGAGCACATAATCCTCTTCAGTGTCTAGATTAAAGCAATAAATGTGCCTGGATCTGTAAGAAGCATCTCTCTTTTTTGCCGTGTGTGTGTGTGTGTGTGTGTGTGTGTGTGTGCTCTGCTCATTCTCCATCCAGCCCAGTGTTCTGCTAACAGTCCAGTAAGAGCACATAGTCCTCTTCAGTATCTAGATTAAAGCAATAAATGTGCCTGGATCTGTAAGAAGCATCTCTCTTTTTTGCCGTGTGTGTGTGTGTGTGTGTGTGTGTGTGTGTGTGTGTGAGTGAGTGTGTGAGTGTGTGTGTGTGTGTGTGCTCTGTCCAAATCCCCACATAATTAAACCACCTACTAGAAAAACCACTTGTAATAGATGACCAAATCTCTGAGCTACCATGGTAAATTTGTGCTAAATTTACCTGCTTATTTTCAGAAGCAACCCTTTCCTCCTAGAAGCTCAGGAATTGGTATCTTGGCTCATACCACCTTTTGCACACTGGCTACAGCTGAGATATGCCACCTCTCTGCATCCCAGCTGAACAGTCCTCATGCTTGCCATCTGTCCTCACAAAGTCCTATCACTTCTCTCTCCCTGCTTAGAGCTTCCCCCACTGCACTGCCTAAAAGCAAGGGACAAGAGCCACCTTCAGGTCCTCCCATCCAGTGCAGTACTGACAGCCCTAGGAAAAGGTGTCTCCCTATTGTCAGTATCCTTCCTAACAAAGGACCCCGAGTCACATTTCCTTTTTTTTTTTAAATGCTCAAATGCACTAATATATATTTGCCACTTTTGTCTGTACTAACTCCAATTCTTAAGAACTTAGTTGTGCTTTTTTTTTCTTCAAAATGTTCCCTATTGGTTTTTGACTACTCAGAAGTACTCAAAGTACAAGAAGGACTTGGAGATTCTGTACTCTAATCATCCACTGTAATGAAAGCAATCTCTTTTAAGGTTTCTAGCTCCTGGCATCCATGTTCATTTCCTTCTCTTCCGAAAAATCAGAGAAGAAATCATTATCAGAATCCTGGAGGCTAGAAAGAAGATGATGAGTGATGGCAGATTTTACACACAAGAAAGCTTGAGGCTGGCAGTATGAAAAGCTGAGAGCCCAATTTGTTCAAAGAACTCTCCAAGGGATCAGGAAATGACATCAGATACCTCTGGCAATGAGGAAGAAGGGCTGAAGCAAAAAAGATGAGTGGAAGCCTGTTTGAGAAACAGCCCCAGAGTTCTCCTAACTCCAAACCCGTGGGAGCTGTCCACTTCCTACCAGTCTAGATGGTTACTCCCTAAACAAAACAAAATGGAGGGCCTCGGGATACCAGACACATTTTTGGCAGAGTTGCCAGTTCTCACAGGAGGGATCAAGTGAGAGTATGCCTACCAAATGCTAAGCCTCTGGCTTTCTTTTTATCAAGTTCTCAGAATGCAGGTCAACAAACCTCTACCTTTGGAAGAAACAGGAAGAAGCTACTCAGGGGAATTAGGCAGCTCATGAGCAGAGTTAAAGGCATTTGGGGTTACTCAACAACTAGCCCAAGCTGATATTGTGAAGTGTAATATAGGCTCCAGCCCAGAGCTTTCAATCTGATTTTCAGTCTCTTTAAACACTGTTAGACAACAAAAGCCACCAGGAAAAAGAAACCCAAGTTGTAACACAAATATTGGATACCAAAGCAAATAAACCAAGGGATATAAGTTGGACTACACATGGAGAAAACTTCAAAAGCAAAAGACTCAGAGAAATGAGAAAAAGATAGTTTCCATGAAACATAACCAGTATATGTATACAGACAGTTAAGTAGATAAGATTTAGTTAATAAAACTAAATAAGGACAAGCTCATAAAATGATTTGAGTTCAGCTTTATACAATGGTAGCTAATTTATACTGAAGTAACCTTTCATCCAATAAACTCTGGACAAAATGTACAACTATCTGGAGGTACAGAAAACAACTAAAATCAGGCAAACACTACAGATGCTTAGCCCTGGCTTTCCCTCTGAGTAGTTTTATGTAATACAAGAACATCATTCAGGTAAAAAGTGGTGGTCTAACTAGGCTGAAATCAGTGGTGAGAGTTTCAATACAGGTGGAAATTGATGACGTAGATCTATAAAATGAAGGGAGAAACATAGAGGGGAGCCCTGAATTTCAAATAAACTCTCAAATCATTGGCTGATTGCTGACCTAGGTAAGTACAAGGCTACAAGAAGACCAGTGGGAAGAGGCAGAACTCAAAGAGCTGAGTATTGATTTCAATAGTGGTATTGTGTTGCCAAGACAGAGTTTAGAGAGTTCCAAAGTTAGAGGGACAAATTCCATGATCAGTTTAAAGTAGATAACTCTTAATAAAATGGTAAACCAAGCCTGCATGGAATCAAAATAATCTGTCAGTGTAAGAACAAAACTCTGCAGAAGAAAACAGAATCCAGGAGTTTGTATTGTTTGTCATCCACAGTGACCAATATTCATTTCCAAAGAATTCCACATGAGAATCAGGAAAATAGAACCCATAATTAGAAGAAGTCAGAAGAAGATAAATGCATTGATTCATATTCTAGAATTAGCAGACATGGAATTAAAATATCTTCTCTAAGTTGGTTGAAGAATTTATAGAAAGGCAGGTATGGTGGTTCAGGCCTGCAATCCCAGCTGTGACAAGTAGGAGAATCAAGACCTGAGGCTACCCTTAAGCAAAAATTCAAGACCCTCCTGATCAATAAACTAGTCAATCAAAGCAAGCAAGGAAGAGCAGAGGGGTCTGGCTCAAGTGGTAGAGGGTCTGTCTAGTAAGTGTCAGGAGTGCAAAAAACATTTTTAAAGATAACTAAAATGGGTTGGGGAATTTGGCAAAATTTAGAACTTTAAAAGAACTCAATTACAGAACTGGGCACCGGTGGCTGACACCTATAATCCTAACTACTCAGAGGCTGCAATCTGAGGATTGCAATTCAGAGCCAGCCCTGATAGGAAAGTCCGTGAGACTCTGATCTCCAATAACCACCAGTCAATCAGAAGTGGCGCTGTGGCTCAAGTGATAGAGCACTTGCCTTGAGTTAAAGAGCTGAGGGACAGCGCCCAGCCCCACGATGGGAGAGGGAGGGAGGGGGAGAACTCAATCACACACAGTGAGACCAAGGAGGACATTCTTAGGAAAGGAAGAGAAATGTGAAACTGATCATACAAAATAATATTTATTAAAATGAACTTCAGGAACTGAGAATAAAAGGTTTATTTTTCCTTTTTTGCTGTTTTTGTTTTCTTTTTGTTCTGTTAGTTCATTTATATGTCTTTAGGAGGCTAAGGGGAGGCACAGACATGGAGGGACAAAGGGTGAATAAATGCAGCAATGGCACTCACTGGACACTATGCTGAAAATGAACTATACAACTTGTTGGTATGGATGGGAGGGAAAAAAGTGGGCGAGAGTGAGGGAAGGGGTGACATTGTTGCAAAAAAAAGTGTACTCATTACCTGACATATAATATAACCTCTCTGTAAATCACCTTTATAATAATTAAAATTTAAAAAATAATAAAGGAACTAAATGGAGACCACGTACTAGAAGCTCACATCTGTAATCCCAGCTACTCGAGAGGCTGAGATCTGGACGATCACTGTTTGAAACCAGCCCAGACAGAAAAGTCTGTGAGAATCCATCTCCAATTAACCAGTAAAGAGTCAAGCTGGAGATGTGACACAAGTGCTACAGAGTGCCAGCTATGAGAAAGGGTATCGAGTGAGTTTAAGGTCCTGGGTTCAAGACTGTACCAGAAAAAGGAAAAGCCAGCTGACCCTTTATCTCTCTTAAAACTTACACCTTGAACTCATGATTCATCCAATGAGATGTAAATCCTTGACACACACTTGCAATGAAATTAAAAACCAAATCCAGGTGCAGATATTCAAATCTCTCCCCACTGCA